CAGGCTGGAGAACAAGATTCAGAAGTTCCACAGCCATGTGGCGTGTCCCAGACACACAGCAGAGCTGGGTCCCTGTGGACACTACTGCCAAACAATACAGACTGAAGCTTGCAGGCACCGATACTGCTGGCAGGCCCACCAGAAGCATCAAAGGCCTGGCTCCTTTATGGACTTGCCCTTGCTGTGACTGTTCTGACCAAGTGTGTTGTCTGTAGGACCCGATTCAGTCTGGGTAGTCATAAGCAGAGCTGAGGCCTCTCTAGCTGCAAGGAAGACCCAGGGAAGAGTACCTGACACACTGACATCGATCTCCCACCAAAGCTCATAAAGTACGGACTTCTCAAGAAATAGAGTTCTGAGGTTGAACAGCTGAAAATGATGATTAACATCCTTGATGAACAGCTGTCTTGAATTTGAATTACAGCTTTTGTTTCCAAAAAACTCTCTACTGAGAATTTCTTTTAATCCACTGCATTATTATGACACGTTTGTGGTTTTTAATTCACTTTCTGATGCATGTTAAAATGCAGATCACTATTTTATATCATCGTTACTTTTATGCATGAAAAATCCCATTGCATGAGTTATTATTACAGGGGACAATGACTTGGAAAACATTCCTGTAGTTCTAGGCTGAAATTTCAATAGTAAGGGAGAGAGGGAGAAACAACACATTCTTCTGAAGTCTAATTGGAGTTGTTTTGTTTTGTTGTTATTCATGTTGCAAACTGTTTAGTCAGAAAAATGGAACCAAATCCCATCTCAAAGCCAGTCACAATGGGCACTATAGTAATACCTGGGGCTGAGATGATGAATTATCTCCTTTTCTAGGTGGGAGAGTGAGTTGTGCAAACTTTGTAGAGGACAATCTGGTAATATGAATATAAAAGCTTTAGAAATCTCACTTGTTGACATTAGAGAACAGCAGTCTGCAAACTTTCTGTAAAGAGCCAGAGAGTAACTATTTAAGGGCTTGTGGGCCATATGTTCTGACAACTACTCACCTCTGCCATTGTCACCCAAGAGCAGCCATAAATGACATAGAAATTAATAGGTGTGGCTGTTCCAATAATATGTATTTACCAAAAAGAGCTGGACTGAGGGCTACAGTTTGCCACCACCTGCTACAAAAGTTTAATATTAACAACACAGATGCCTAATATTGAAGAAAGGTGGAATAAATGCACCAAGGTAGATAAATGTTGAATCTGCCTCTTTGAAACTGCTGAAGCAGGAATCTGAAGGAAAAATCACAAGTTCCCACATCTGAATAACCTTAAATGACCTTTGGTTTACATCATGGTCTTGATTTCTTCACTCTATTGGACATTTCATTTGGACTACAACATTAAAATCGCAGTGTAATGGGTGGAGCTTGACTGTCTAGGTTCAGACTGGCTCTGTCATTTACTAACAGATGACTCTGGGCAAGACCAAACCCAGAGAAGACCCATGGAACATATTCACACGAGGGATGAAGGCTGAGTACACAGTGAGGTCTTGATAAAGAGGACTTCAGATTTCAGTAAAGCAGTGGTTCTCAACCTTTCAAATGCCGCGACCCCTTAATACAGTTCCTCATGTTGTGGTGACCCCCAACCATAAAATTATTTTCATTGCTACTCTATAACTGTAATTTTGCTACTGTTACGAATCATAACGTAAATATCTTTTTGTTTTCTGATAGTCTTAGGCGACTCCTGTGAAAGGGTTGTTCAACCCCCAAAGGGGTCACGACCCACAGGTTGAGAACCGCTGCAGTAAAGGTTAAACACGTACCACTCCTCTGACAGACAGTGGAGCCTGCACCTTATGATAAGGAAGTATAATGAGTAAGAAACACGCATGAAGGAAACCGTAATTTGGGTTGAAGAAACCCATGTTTCCCACAATTGCACAGTGGAGGGAATTCTAGGGAGGTTTAGAATCTAGAAGGACTTTGTGCCACAGAGAAAGATGGTCACGAGCAATAGTACTTAAGTTGTCTGTTACCAAATATGCTACAAATCTCCTAGATACAGCACCGTTGTTTTTCCCAAAGTCCTTTTTTTGTCAAAATCCAGGAAGCTAATAAATTAAGAGGTTGCATATCTCTATTAGTTTTCTATTGCCATTATAACAATCATAAAAATTGCCACCAACTTAGTGGCTTAACGCAACTTTATTATCGTACAGTTCTATGGGTCAGAAGTCTGATAGGGGTCTGACTAGAGAAATCAAGGTGCTGGCAGGGCGTGTTCCTTTCTGGGGGCTCTAAGGAAGAATCCAATTCCTGCTCACTTGGCTGATGGACAGCACTGAGTTCCTTGCCTTTGTGGGACCAAGGTCCCTGTTTTCTTGCTGGCTGTTAACTAAAGGCTGTTCCCAGATAAAGACAATCACATTCCTTGGCTCATGGTCCCCTTTCACCAACTTCAAAGTCATCAACTGCAAAACCACTAATGTACATCTCTCAGAACCCCTCTCCTGCCTCCCTCTTCCGCTTTTAAGGACCAAACTTCTAAACACTGCACATCTGCAACTTATCTGGCATAATAATTTAATGAAAACTAGACAAGGTCATCAACTTATAATGTATTCATTATGAAATTATTCCATAAGTTACTATATGATGCTAATAAATATTTTCTAACATAAGCACACTCCATGAGATGAAAAACTACAAAGATTATTCATTTTAAAAATGTGGCACATTTATTTCTTAAACTCCTTACTAATGATACTTCATTTATCACTAATTAATACTTTGGTTTTCTTTTCAGTTCAAAGTCTAACATTGGCAAATCACACAATATCTCCATATTTTCATTTATGGAAGATACTTTCACTTTTCCCCCAGAAAATACTGGGTTACTCACCTAACTCCTCATTATGTGTGGTTTCAAACAGCTCAGACTAAGTTTCAGTATATAAAATATTAACCATTTAGGAGTGACCTGTATTTTGTGGGAATGCTGTAATGAAAACAGATGCTTCACTTTTCAGAAGAAAACCGACATTTCAATAGTTATTTCAAACCCACAATTCTTCAGATAAGAAATTACAAGCCTAACTGAAATCAAAGAGATTTTTGTAAAAAAGGAAATAGTTCCCACAGGTATTTTGTATATAAATCCTTTTTTAACTTTTGAAGTTAGGGTACTACTGTAAAATACGAGTTACGTTTTCTAGTAACATTTGTAAATACCCCCAAATGATAGCAATGGCAGCATCTAAGCATGTACGATCACTGAGGGCCAGATGCGTTGATGTTACCTGTACACGGACGCCCACACATTTCATAAGCAGAGCCAGGTCTAGAACCCCGCCCTGTGCTTATCTAGAAGACTCTTGCTTAATCCTTTCCAGGGATGTGCAGCACACCTTTTATTTACTAATTTAACCCTGAGGACAGGGACACCTAGTGGCACAATAAACGGAAAGCTGTTTTCTAAGGGGGGCTCGCACACCTTTGCCTGTTTGGATTCAGTTTTCTTTTAAGTGAATAACATCGCCTCCATGTTGGAGCATTTTGGGAGGCAAATACAGAAGACGCCTACGTGCTTTTTACTGGTGTGTGCTCCAGAGACGTACACCATATGGTCACAACGCACGCAACTTTGTTCTAGGGCATTCAGCTTCTAAAAATTAATTTCCGGCCCTTGTGGTCCAAGACTAGGGATCCCACTTCCCCGCACCTACATTTCCTAAGAGAACAGCACTCGTCTCCACTTCACGTCTGATGAAAACACCTTAATCCGCGTTCCCTGTTTACCTCAACATTTTCCATTAGTAAAGTCTCCCCATCGCCTTTCACTCCGCTAAGAAACTCGCTCTCCCATTTTTCTCCCTCTTACCCCACCTTCAGGAAAGCTCTTCCTTTCTTCTGCCTCCTGCTAGCTTTCGCCTCTCTCGGCTTCCAAAACCACCGCCCGGAAATCAGCGGAAACATACTGCGCACGCGCACTAAACTCGTCACCGCTTGGCTTCATGGGAGCAGCTGATTGGTTACTTTTAATAGGACTCGCGGAGGCTACGGTGCGGTAAATCTCGCGATACTTGCTGCAGCCAGTCGGCTTGACCTATTGTGGGTTATATTAGCCTCCCTTTTAGCTTCTTTTTTCACCTGAGCTGCTGTGTTGCCAGGAGTGGTCGCTCCTCCGGTCATGACGTCCGCTCTGGAGACTTACACAAACCGTTATGCTTGGGTGGCCGCTGAGGGCGCTGGCGAGAGCGTGGCGAGGCACGGCCGCACTGAAGAGGCTGGGGTCGGGATCGGCGGGCGGTTGGGAC